AACCAATCAAAACCATTGAATTGTTTTAATAAATTTCATTAACAAAGATAATTTCTGCAATGAACTTATCAACTGGAAGAAGAATATTCAGAGTATCCCGAATTATGGACGGATATCTCCGGAATTATAAGAGATACCGAAATTTTTGTAATAATCTTTTCTCTGGTTCCCATCACGCTCTACAAAAAAGATAATAATAAAAATTTCTGTATCTCCCGTCATTCGCGAGTTAACACTGATAATTAAGTCAAGGTGAAATCCCCGTATTCTAGCTCGGTGCAGTTTGTTGCAGAGTGTTTATTTTTTCCAACGCTTTCGTGTAAATATTTTTTAAATAACAATTTTTACACTTGGACCTTAGCATTCGCTCGATGGCAAGACAATCAAACTAAATAACGTGCGGTACGAGGCGACTGGTCTGTACTCCTGTTTAGCGAGCTCCACCTATCCTATTTATACCGAGAGTTCTAGTGAAGTCAAGTTGCAGGTGATAGGTGAGAAGATGACAATTATATCAATAATTTTGTAGCTGTAAATAAATTCCCCTGACCTTTCCTGCGAACATCCCACGATAGCTGCATCATTAATTTTAATGTCAAACTTCATGAACCCATTGATTCCAAATGATATTTTTAGAATTTCGCTATTCCCACAGTAAAACCCAAAAATACACAGAGATAATAAAAGATGGAATGAATTATGAAAGCAAAACTAATATTTCTCTTAATAAATTCATGATAAATCAACAATAATGTAAAATTAGCTCGAAAACTTATTGCAAACTTATTGGATAAACGCCGAATATTCTCGATATAAAGTTCATGAGAAGTTGAACTTTCCCAGCCACCGTGAATTAATAATTGATGAGCGAAGTGGAATAATTGCGTTGAAAAATAACTGAAACAGTTTCATCTCTTCGCGACTGGATTCCGAATAAGTTCTAAATAAATGAGCATTCTCCCCCAGACATTTTCCATATTTCACACCAATCGATTCTCTTTCGAATTTCACAGCACCGCAGACGGAAAATCCCCATATAACATTCAAGAAGGATGTTTACACAGTAGGAGAAGTTCTCGAGGCAAATTGTACCTCTTCACCTGCGTATCCAGTTCCTCATTTGACGTGGCTCATCAATGGAAAAGAGGTGGGTAAAACCCAGAAAAAAAGACTCACCCCAATGATCTAGCTCTTTCCAACTTCAAATTCAAATTTTTTACGTTAATTTACCAAACGTTTCCCAAAAATTATGAAACAATATAAAATAGAGATGTCGGAATGAGTTCCTTAATTAATTGAATTTTTTCAATTTCAATGAAAATTCACAGGCAGACATGACCCTCGTGACAACTTATCCTCATCGTCAGCACACGAAGCCCCTGATGTCAGCTACCTCGAAGCTCGCGATCAAAGTGTCTGAGCTGCATGCTGGGGACAATGGACGTCTTGAAATTGCGTGTCAAGC